GAAGTTATACGATGGAGTACGAAGATAGGAGAAGAAGTATTTCATGAAAGTCGTAGGTCTCCTCCAGAAAGAGGAAGGATTGCCTTGAACCCCAAATTCTCTCCACCAAGGTTAAACCTGCCGTAACGACACTTACCAAACTTTGCAATTAAATGAATCAATTAAATCTTTTTCTGAATCTTACAAGGAATCTTTGCTCATAAAGTAATGTCAGGAAAGTAACTGTTGGATAGACTAACTAGAGGGTTACCCTGCCCTGGACGGTGGAGTGACGCCGAGCGAAAAGAGGACATTACAGTACAGTTGGCAATAATCAATACCTTGACAACACGGAGCGATTTTTCGACCGAAGTGGTTGTTGAGTTTTGCCTCCATTGAGAGCGAGCGCACTAAACTGGCTATACAAAGATGCATTAGTGAGAGTTTCATGAGAAATAATGGTTCTAGGTTGTACATTTTTGCAGCCGTCAGGAAACTTCCCACTTAGACTCCCTCGAAGTTGTTGCTGTTGCTTAATCCAAACCCATACGAGATTCGTATAGGTAAACCAGCCTTTTCTGCAGAAGACATGTTTATCCATTTCCTTCCGCCAACAAATAACGGAAATTGAATGAGCTGCGCGTCGCCCACAAATTCGGCCACACAAAACTGATGTTGTTAGCGGTAGAAGAGGAAGGGGAGAGGATTAACCGTACAAGTCCTTCCAAGTCTTCAATATTTGTAACGTTCCGCATAAAGTACATCTTGCTGCCCCTGTGAAGGTGAACCGGCAGTGACAGCCAACGAGATAGCCCCGACCCGCAGGAGCAGTCGCCCTGCGCCAGTCGGCGAGAGTGCAGGGCGGCGAGGAAGCGGGCAGAGACGCAGGGGCGGCGCTCGACCACGGCCGCCTGCAGTTGTTTTGTTCTTCTGCCACATTCATCTCATCGAACCCTTGAGCCAGTTCAGTGCTACAGTGCCAAAGTAACGGCTTCATGTTTGGACGAACTCAGTACAACGGAGTGGTTGGTTGTTTCCCCACTTTTTCCGTTTGGTGAACACTCCTGTTTTGGGCTGTTTCCAGCTGAATACAGTGCATTTGAAGTCTGAGGCTGATGTGAGCGCACTGTGTTCGGAAGGGGGGGGGGGCAGTCTGCAGGGATACCCCTAGGACTAGGCCCGTGGAGAGGGACTAGCATTGGAGTGAATGAAAATTGCTTTCGCGCCTCGAAGTCCCTCTTCTCCACCAAGGCTTAGTCCTAGAACTGAGCATTTTCGTGATCCTGACGCAGTTTTACAGGCTGTCCTCCTCACCCTCCCGAAGCACAGTGCGCCCCGATGTGCTTGCTTCCTCTTTGGTTTCTACTGTAGTCATCGATTTCAAGGATAGATTCGTCTCTGTGATTTCTTCGAAGCTAGCTTATCTATCGGCAATTCAGAGCTTACAAGTTCAGATGTGAAACTTGGAAGTAGTTACAGAACATTCAAAAAATTAAAGTAGCTAATGGACCAAAAAATAGCGTCTCTTTGCAAAGTCGAAGCGTTTTGTAAATACTGGTCGTATCGCGGTCGCTGAAAGTCAGCTGTGTGTGTATTGCTTCAATTGGTTTGAAAGTATACGGTAAGTATATGGTGCAGAGGAAGTCCTTCTTCGCCATTAAATCGAATATTTGCTGTTGAGCGCTATGGAAATCGGCATATGAAATGGAAGGTGCCCGCTCGGACTCATCAATACTTCCTCCTCAAGCAGCTGCCAAAATCTCATTTTGATTAAGCGAATCTTTCAGTTCTCTCTTGATGAGAGTGAATCAAGACAAACCTCATTGCATAGCCGTTTGCTTTTCAGTGTAATTAAATTTTAATTTGAAAAAGGTTGACGCAGGCTTGGTATCCCACAAGTCTGCTGGAGCTTTGTTTGAGTGGGAATTTAATCAAGTATTAATGTGAAGAAGTTTGAATTGCAGGTCCAAGTGGGCTCTCGCACATTTGAAGCGCAAGAATTGCAAAAGTTAATTCCACAACTTGAAGAAGCCATTCAGGTGATTTCATTCATCACTGTCTGTGTGCACTAGAATCGAATTCATAGGCTCCATTTTCAGCGGAAAGACCAACAACTGAAGGCCCAACAAGGAACGGTTGAAAATCACATTCGACGAATCGCTGAGCTAGAGGCAGAAGTTACATCACTGCAGGTGGCTTTAGAGTGTTTATTTGCTTCTTTGCCTTCTGGCGAGTGCTGCCCTGTCTCGATAGATTAGTGTCATCGCGTTTTTACTATATTTTCGTGCATTCTTCGAACATCCGAGCAATTATGCGTAATGTCGGCTCTGATGTTGTCTGAATTTAGTTTGTGAAGTAATATCAGTAGGGATCGGTTATGATAACACTTGTTGCTCTTCTCAGCTCAGTCTCTTCATAATGCACACTATTTTCGAGCCCTCCTCTTGCCATATGGATTGATGTCTTCTATAGTGCACGGATAGCGTGGCTCGGCGCAGAAGGCCTTATCTCCATAGCGTGCAGGGTGAAAGCTATCTCCCATACTATCACATTTCATTCAAAGCAGGAACTGTGAAGCTTATCCATTCGTTGCTTCGCAGGCGCCCGAGCGCGTGATATTTCAGCAGTTCAACCGTGAATAAGCAGGCATTTCGTGTTAGCTCCTGTTTTCTGAATATTTGACATCATGAGTGTTTTTCTACAAATTAAAAAGTAAAAAAAGTATACTGAGCAGACAAACCACAGGGATCATCTTCAAATCGATTAGAAATACGTTCAAACTTGCCATTTTTTTAAGTT